CAGGCCTTCTGAGACAAAAAACAGCATTTGCTCCCCCTCTTCCTAAACAAATGTGCACAGGAATCAGGCAAATTTTAAACAGTGACTGTGGTGGGAATAAGGAGTCACCAATTTGAGAGGTCAAATGTATTAGGTACTATGCTTTAATAGCCATTGTGACTGGACCCGGCCTTTTTCAAAGACACCTGATGTCAAAAACTGCTGGGCTCCTATCACTAGTGTTGTTCAATATATTCATAAGCCACCTGGAAAAAGGGGTAAACAGTGGGGTGGCAAAGTTTGCAGATGAAACAAAATTACTGACCGCAAAAAGTTATAAAGGGATTTCACAAAACTGGGTCACTAGGCAAGAAAATGGCAGATCAAATTCAATGTAAACAGAAAAACTAATGCACATTGGCAACAAGTAATATAGACCCCATCATTTTGTATGTATAGTTGGCATTACGTTTTTCCACTCAAGAAACAGGTCTGGGCGTCATTGTGGATAGTTCTCAGAAAATATCTAGTCAAAATGCAGCAGCAGTCAATGAAGCTAACAGAATGCTAGGAACCATTAGGAAAGATAGAAAATATCAAAGCCACTATATAAATCCATGGTACGCCCACCCCTTGAATACTGCATGTAATTCTGGTTGCAATAGTCTCAAAAAAAGTATAATTGGAAAACGTACAGAGAAGAGCAAGAAAAGTCATTGGGGGTATGGAACAGCTTCCATACAAAGAAAGTTTTAAAAGACTAGGACTATTCATCTTAAAAAAAAAAAGCCAACTAAGGGGGATAGGATAGAGATATATAAAATCATGAATAGTGTAGAGAAAGTGAATAGCAAAGTGTGTTATGTGAAAGAGTAAATAAGAAACAGGGTTAATCCAATGAAATGAATAAACAGCAGGTTTAAAAACAAACACACAGCCAACCTGTGGAACTTGTTCTCAGGGGATGTTGTAAAAGCCAAAAATAATTGGGTTCAAAAAAGAATTAGATAAGTTCGTGGAGGACAGGTCCACCAGGGGGGCTATTAGCCAGGATGGCCAGGGATGCAACCCCATGCTCTGGGTGTCCCTAAGCCTGACAGGCAGAAGCTGGGGTTGTACAGGGGATGGATCACTCGATAATTGCCCTGTTCTGTTCATTCCCTCCGAAGCATCTGGCACCAGCCACTGCCGGAAGTCGGGATACTGGTTTAGACGGACCATTGGTCTGACCCAGTGTGGTCATTCTTATGCAACTCCCAAAATGAATCACCTGCTACATACAGCAACTGTTGCCATATTGTACTCCAGGCCTAAAGAAGTCCACTAAGAAGCTTCAACAGCAACATTATTTTTGAAAAAACGGGGGGGGAGGGGCAGGGGGGGAAATTGAGCCTCTAACGGTAGCTATCCCCACACTTGATTAAAACAAGTGTATGAGTTTGGGATTGAGGGGGAGGCGAAGACACCCCATCGAGTAAGAAGAACAGGAGTACTTGTGGCACCTTAGAGACTAACAAATTTATTAGAGCATAAGCTTTCGTGGACTACAGCCCACTTCTTCGAATGCATATAGAGTGGAACATATATTGAGGAGATATTTGTTAGTCTCTAAGGTGCCACAAGTCCTCCTGTTCTTTTTGCGGATACAGACTAACACGGCTGCTACGCTGAAACCCATCGAGTAAGTTCAGTCTTTTTACAAAAACCCTAGAATTTGCTAGTATCAAAAGCGCAGAGGAGTTTGTTGTGATAAGTATCTCCCCCCTCCTGCTCCCTCAAGCTTGGCTTAAGTCTGAGCAGTCTGCTCACGTAAGAACCAGAAAAGTGCAGCTGACAGAAAGTACAAGTGGTTATCATCTTCTTCTTACAGCGGGGAACTTACAGCTGCGTAGCCAAGGCTCTCGGGGGTGTGAAAATTCACAGCCGAGATATGTAGTGAAGCCAAGCTAACCCTCACGTAGCTGGGCAGTAAAACTCTTCCAGCGACCTGGCTTCCGCCCCTCAGGGAGCTGGATTAACTACAGCCGGGGGAACCCCCTCCCACCGCCACAGCGAGCGTCTACACTGAAGCAGGACAGCGGTGCTGCGTTGGAAGTGTAACCAGCCCCTTGTCTCACAGCAAGCAACCCTGCTCCTGCAGGAGCTCCCGGGGGTGGGGCACACACTGGGACCAGCACAGAACTGAGGCCGGGGAGCGAGGTCTTCCCCCCCGCCCCAGCTTAGGGGCGGTAGGACGGGGCGGCGGGACGGATGTGCAGAGCCTTGGGTGGATCCCACCGAGGCTGGAAGGTCCCTCCTCCCCCATGATCTCCGCCCCACCCCCCGGAGCTAGCGCTTTCCCTCCCTCCCCCTGCCCCGCCCCCCGGGCCATGCAGCCCCCTCCCCCCACCCCGGGGCTGCCCGCCCCCTCCCTCCCCCCGCCCCGCCCCCGGGGCTGGCTGTCCGCGCGCGGGGTGATTGATGGCCCGTGCATTCCTGCAGCGCCGAGCGGGCGGGCGGGCAGGCGCTAGGGGGTGGGGGGCCGGCCCCGCTCGGCCCAGGCCCGCTTCCCTCTAAACTTTCCGCACGGCCACTTCTACCGAGCGGCGCCATCTTTAGCGAGGGAAACTTTCCCGGCACCGCGGAGCCGGCCGGCAGCCACCCCCGTCTCCGCCCGCCCGCGAACGCGCTGCAGCGGCCCGGCCTCCGGGGCGGGCGGGAAAGAGGCTTTGCAAGCCCGGGCAGGACCGAGCTGTCAACAGCCCCCGCTGACACCCCCCCTCCAAAAAAAAAAAACTTGCAACGGCGCCTTCAACCGACGCCCACCCCCACCTCCCCCAGCGGGGAGCGACACGTCCCTCCGTGCAACCCCCTCGGAGAACTCCCCCGCCCAGTTCCCCCCATACAACCCCCCCCCGGAACTCCCCATGCAAGCCCCCCCGCCCCGTGCAAGCCCCCTCCTATGGGGAGCGCCACACTTATCAAGGCGCGACACCCCCCACAGGCAGCTCCTCCACGCACATGCAAACCCCAGAGGCAGCCGTAGCAGGCCACGGGACACACCCACCCCGCCGGTGCCGCGCTCAGCCCCGCTCCCCCTTGGCAGGCTCCGGGAAAGGGTCGGGCCGCCCGTTACCTTCTGCAAATGCTTGGCCCGGCCCTTGCCGGGGCTCTTCCCCTCGAGCCCGTTGGCCACCGCCGCGTCCTCGCTACTTTTCCGCCGCCGCCGCCGCCGCAGCAGGGCATCTTCCACCAGCACCGTGTAGACGGCGTTGCTGGCCGCAGAGGCGGGGGCTTTGCACGCCTGGATCACCCCGCAGTACAGCCCGTGCCGGTGGGCAGCCGACGGGGGGCTGCAGTCGGGGCAGCAGGGCCCGGCCGCTGTTAAGCCGGGCGGAGGGGAGTAGAGCCGGCTGTCCGGGGCGGCTCTCTTGGGGAGGCGCTTGGGATCCATGACCCCCGCGAGAGGGACCGAGCCCCCTCCCGGCCAGGGAGAGATGGGGGGCGCCGTGCGGGCGGAGGCTGCAGCCCAGCCGGTGTCTTCGGGTCGCTCCCTCCACACCGAGCTCCCCCGGTCTCTGCACCCGCCGACCACGCCCCCCCCTCCAGCCCGCGCTCTCCCCCTCTCGAGGCTCGTGCGAGCCGGGGAAGCAGTCTCCACTCCCCGCCGCTCGCCATTGGCCCGCTCGCTGTATCAACATTCCGAAATGGAATATAGGCCCCGGCCCGGAGCCGGCTCGCACGCCCATTGGCCCCACGGTGTTGCCAATTAGCGTAGGGGCGTTCCATTCGCCCCGCCTCCCTCCCCAGCCCGGCTGTTGTAGCTGCTGCTTGACTTTGATTTCAGACAGGGAGGGAGATTGGGGTTGGGGAGGGAGCCGGGGTTTGCCGCTGGGTTTAGCGGCCATCTTCAGGGGCTTGGGTGGGGAGTGAAGGAGCCCTTTCGCCTTGGCGCTTTGGGGTGAGGAGAGAAAGCAAAGCCTCCAACGGGCAAACATGGTTCATTAGTTAAAAGCTGCATGTGTTGTTGGGTTTTTCCTAAATGTAACCACTTGGAGATGGACCCCAGTGGAACCCCCGGCTCTGAACTTTGGGGAAGTTGGATTCAGGTCTTAGCCTTTAGTTGGGATTCTGTACTTGGCAGCTGGGGCCCATCTTTATTGACTATAAATAGGCTCACAAAAGCTGTTTGGAGAAATGAATAAGCCAGTAACAGTACTTTTCGCAACTAAAGGACCCACTGTCTGAGCATCTTAAAATAACTTAGCAATGTGTATCATTTGTTTAGAGTCCAAACTACCTGATCTGAAGAGATTACAATCTTAAAACTCTTCACACAGCGCACAGTCAACCTGTGGAACTCCTGGCCTGAGGAGGTTGTGAAGGCTAGGACTATAACGGATTAAAAGAGAACTGGATAAACTCCATGAATTTAAGTCCATTAATGGCTATTAGCCAGGATGGGTAAGGAATGGTGTCCCTCGTCTCTGTTTGTCAGAGGGTGGAGATGGATGGCAGGAGGGAGATCACTTGATCATTACCTGTTAGGTTCATTCCCTCTGGGGCACCTGGCATTGGCCACTGTCGATAGACATGATACTGGGATAGATGGACCTTTGGTCTGACCCAGTATGTTCTAAAAGCAGATAATTACATGGGCGAGGTATACACTATACAAAGTCTTTGGCATGTGAAGTTTTCTGTATCTTGTTAGTTCCAACTTAAACAAAAAAAAAATCAACTTTCTCCATCTTCCAGTCAGTCCTGGTGCCCAACTCACACATCACCAGGTTTGTTTAAAACAAACAAAAGGAAATATTTCTTCATACAAGACACAGTCAACCTGTGAAACTCTTTGCCAGAGGATGTTGTGAAGGCCAAGACTATAGCAGGGTTCAAAAAAGTGCTACATAAATTCATGGAGGATAGGTCCATCAATGGCTATTAGTCAGGATGGGCAGGGATGGTGTCCCTCTGTTTGCCAGAAGCTGGAAATGAGCGACAGGGGATGGATCACTTGATGATTATCTGTTCTGTTCATTCCCTCTGGGGCACCTGACATTGGCCACTGTCAGAAAACAGGATACTGGCTAAATGCACCTTTGGACTGACCCAGTATGGCTGTTATGTTCACCACCCTATGTTCAAGATACTTTGCAAACATACACGGGAAAAGAACAGGAGTACTTGTGGCACCTTAGAGACTAACAAATTTATTTGAGCATAAGCTTTCATAGGCTACAACCCATTTCATCGGATGCATGCAGTAGAAAATACAGTAGGAAGATATATATATACACAGAGAACATGAAACAATGGGTGTTACCATACACACTATAAGGAGAGTGATCAGTTAAGGTGAGCTATTATCAGCAGGAGAGCAAAAGAACTGTTTGTAGTGGTAATGAAAATGGCCCATTTCCAGCAATTGACAAGAAGATGTGAGAAACTGGGGGGTGGGAGGAGAAGCATGGGGAAATAGTTTTACTTTGTGTAATGGCCCATCCACTCCCAGTCTTTATTCAAGCCTAATTTAATGGTGTCCAGTTTGCAAATTAATTCCAATTCAGCAGTCTCTCGTTGGAGTCTGTTTTTGAAGTTTTGTTGTTGTAATATTGCGACTTTTAGGTCTGTAATTGAGTGGCCAGGGAGACTGAAGTGTTCTGCAACAGGATTTTGAATGTTATAATTCTTGACATCTGATTTGTGTCCATTTATTCTTTTACGTAGAGACTGTCCGGTTTGGCCAATGTACATGGCAGA